CTGACTTTGGGAACCAGCTTGTTTGGGGCACAGATGAGGATCTCAGTCTTATCTTCATTCAGCTGTAGAAAGCTCCCAGCCATCCAGGTTTCGATAGTCTAAGCAGGAGTGTAAACGCTGCAGCTTAGAAATGTCATGGGGCTTAAATGAGATTTACAGGTGGATGTCATCTGCATAAAGATGGTGGGATATTCCTTTAAAGGAGCTCAGGATGTGCTGAAGAGGAAGCAGATAGAGGAGGAAGAGTAGAGGCCCCAGCACAGAACCTTGTGGGACACCTCTGGTGAGGAAGGTGGTGGAGAACTGAAAATTGGAGACGGCCACAAAGAAAGAACGCTCAGACAGATAAGAAGAGAACCACTCCAGAGCAGTTTCTGATAGGCCTACCCAGTCTCTGAGCCTCTCCAGTAGCAGGTGATGGTCAACAGTATCAAAGGCTGCAGTCAGGTCCAACAGGACCAGAACAGAACAGTCCACTGCATCACTGTGAGTCAGAAGGTCATTCAAGGCCCTAAGAGATGTTTCAGTAGAATGAGCTCTACGAAAACCTGACTGGAAACTATCATAGATGTTATGTTTATCAAGAGCAGCTATGAGTTGTTTAGCCACAACCTTTTCCAAGATTTAGGAGATTAATGGAAGTTTAGAGATGGGTCTGAAGCTGCTGTGGAGAGAGGGGTCAAGACTTGCTTTTTTAAGAAGCGGGTGGATTACAGCATTCTTAAAGTAAGCAGGGACCTGACCAGAAACCAGAGAATCATAAATTATAGTGGGCATGCTGGGACTGATGGACTGAAAAGCACTTTTAAACAAAGATGAGGGTAAGATATCGAGGGGACATGCAGAGGTCTTCATAGAGTTAACTAGTTTGGTTAACTCAGGCAAAGAAACAGGAGCAAAGCTATCTAGGATGATGGGCCTGGTTGGAGTTAGGAGAGGCAGAGATAAGGCTGAGGGAGAGATGCTAGGTCTGACCTTATTGACTTTGTCCACAATGAAAGACAGAATGTTTTCACAGTCTGCAACAGAGTGGATGGAGGCTGTAGGAGAGGCAGGAGAGACGATGCTGCTGATGGCATTAAGCAGCACCTTGGGGTTCCCTTTGCTCTGGGACACCAGGTTGGAGAAATTAGCAACCCTCGCGTCTCTGACTGCAGAGTTGAAGGACGTCAGACGATCCTTTAGATGCAGCAGTTGGACTTGGGAGATGGCTTTTCTTCCACAAGCACTCAATTGTCTGCATTGGTGCTTCAGGCTGCGGATGCTGTCGTTAAATCTGGGAGTAGGGTTCACTGCAGGATCTGATCTGATTCTGACAGGACAGATGTCCAGAAGGCAGTGCTCGTTAAACTGAGAAGTTAAGAAATCTGAGTCGTTATCTGAAGAACAGGGTGGATTAAAAGCAGCAGAAAATTGCTAGCTGTGCACTCATTAAGGAAAAAAGAACTAACCAAGTGGCAAGCAGGAGGTGAGGACACAGAAACTGACAAGTTAAAGAAAATGCAATGGTGATCTGAGATATAAACGTCCTCAGGACAAACACTGCAAGCATTTAGACCCAGGGTAAAAACAAGGTGCAGAGTGTGCCTCCTGGTGTGTGTGGGGCCGGAAACATGCTGGGTAATGCTGAAGGAGTCCATGACGCTGGAGAAGGTCATGGAAAAGTAGTCTGAGGCATGATCAATGAGGATGTTAAAATCACCAACAATCGCCAGTCTGGACAGATTCACAGTGGAGGATAAAAAGTCACTAAACTTTATTTTATACATTTCTATTCAATTTGAGAATATTTCTTTGGAAAATTTAGTGCAAGTAAAGTTCTATTTTAAATTTCATTAAATCTGTACCCATACCAAAAATCTTACATACCAAAAATGAACCAAAACATGAACTTAAAACCAAGGTATGAACCAAACCAGGATTAGGCATACAATTACATTCCTAGTTAGTCACATACACTGAGAGCTAATGGGTTGTGTGAGACTTTTGTTTCAAATCTTGACATTAAGGTAATAATTTACCCATGGAGTCTGTCGTTTGTATTTAAAAACTTTCTCACAAACCACTGAACAGATTTTAAGAAACTCAAACATTAATCGTCTGAAACCAATCCAAATCAGGGTCACCTCAGCCAACTGATTTTAGACAATAAAGTCAATGACTCAGCATATTTTACAGAAATTGAATTCATTTTGTCGTGGCGCTAGCTGAAAGGCATTCACTAGGGCTGTAGCGACGCATCGATGACGTCGACGGCTCGATTCTAAAAATTTGTCGACGTCAGATCCGGAAGTCGACGCACCGCGCCCACTTGTTGCATCCCCAGGAGTTTGTAAATAGAGGAGGAATCTGCCTGTTTTTCCTCTAGTCCGCCCTCTTCTCCGCCTTCACTAACATCTCCGCCAAATACCGAAGACCCGGAACAATGTCCGTCCACTACTAGATTATTTTCCTGTTTTGCCCGCCTTCGTCTCCCGGCAACGGACAACAACTTCCGGGGTCAGATGCGCTGCTTCGTGTCTACCGCAGATGTAGAAAATCACCGGGAGCGTTTCTCCCTTCATTAAGGAGCTTCTTTCGGACATTAGGAGAGCTGTTTTGGTGGTAGCAGTCTCTCCTCCGTGCTGGTCTGTTTGCTGCTGGGTGTTTTTGGTTTATTTAAACGTGGTAACTTGAACTTAACGTTGGTAAAGCTACTGTTAGCATCTTCGCTAACAGCTTCTTGCGTTTGGATAAGCTGTTACGTTTTGGTTTAGAGTTCATCTTTTTTGTGGTGCAGATCTCCCTTTTATTACATTTAGAGTGTTGTGGGTTTTCGGTTTAGTTTAAAATATCACCTTGAGTTTGGTTTAACCACCCAGTTTAGAGTTTGGATCCCTACTTATTTGTACTTTGTTTTAATTCCCCACAGGCAGAATTAGTTTTATTATTCCCAACCTGTGGATGGAAAGATTTATGATTTTTGTTGTTGTAAATAAACCTGATCATCATTTTAACTTTTAAATCCCGTTATTGTCCCTTCCTTTTTGCACACGAGCCAAACTCCCCAGGAAGGGTCGTAACACCACTCCCCTCCCGCACATAAGTGACCAAAACAAAGCAGCATGGAGACACTCCATCTTCTACCACCTCTCAGGCAGCAGCCTGCACTCCCAAGTTCTACACGTCACCAGAACATAACCAACCGCAACACAATAAAAGCAGTGTTATACAAAATGGAAGGTCTGTAGTGTTTATTCTCTTACAGTAACAATTTATCAATTTTTTTGAGGAATTTATTTGAGATTTTCTGGTTTTTGTTAATTGTGCAATAGAAAAATAATCATTAGATTAATTTTCTAAATAGTCATTAGAATAGTCGACTATTCGATAAAATAATCGTCAGAATAATCATTTTAAAAATAATCGTTTACCCCCAGCCCTAGCATTCACATCACACTGACTGGGCCTCAGCACCTCCCTTTGCAACTGGTTGCTGGATTTCCTCAGCCACAGGCCGCAAGTGGTGCGTGTGGGCAACAAGGTCTCAAACAGTATCACCCTGAGCACGGGGGCTCCACAAGGCTGTGTGCTCAGTCCTCTGCTCTTTACACATGACTGAAACATGACTGCGTACCAACCTACAGCTCCAACCACCTTGTGAAGTTTGCGGACGACACAACGCTGGTGGGGCTCATCACCAAGGGCGATGAGACCCACTACAGGAAAGAGGTTGCGCTCCTGACCACTTGGTGCAGAGACAACAACCTCCAGCTAAATGTTAGTAAGACCAAGGAGATCATTGTCAACTTCCATAGAGGCCCACAACAACTACCCCCCATTGACCATCGACGGCGCTGCGGTGGAGAGGGTGAGCAGCACGAAGTTCCTGGGGGTGCACATCAGGGAGGACCTCTCCTGGACAACCAACACAGCTTCACTGGCCAAGAAAGCACAACAGCGCCTCTACTTCCTGCGCAAACTCAAGCGGGCAAGTGCTCCACCACCCATCCTGATCACATTCTACAGAGGAACTATTGAAAGCATCCTCTCCAGCTGTATCACTGTGTGGGGCGGTAGCTGCACTGACTATAACAGGAAAGCTCTACAGCGCATTGTGAGAACAGATGAGAGGATAGTTGGTGCACCACTCCCCTCCCTGCAAGACATTTACACCACTCGCCTCACCCGCAAAGCCATCACAATTGTCAACAACGCCACCCACCCTGCGCACTGTCTGTTCAGTCTCCTGCCCTCTGGAAAGAGATACAGAAGTCTCCGCTCCCGCACTACCAGGCTCACCAACAGCTTTGTCTACCAGGCTGTGAGACTGCTGAACTCTCTTCCCTCACAGATCCCAGGCAGCAGAATCACCAGGGTGACAGGAGTATAGGATGACAGACTGGACCCTATCTCCCCCCCCCCCCCCCCCCCCCACACACACACACACACACACATATACATGCACATTATACAAAAAGGAAATAGTGGTTGAACCAAGAACGGGGTAAACATTTCTGATTGTAAACAACTACCTCTGCATTGCAATTGCACACACCTGCTGCTTTATGTTTTTGTATATTTTTAACAATATTTACCTGTTTAATATTATCTTATTGTTAGGGACGTTTTTTGTTTTTGTTATTGTTGTGCATTTGCACTTTATGTTGTCAATGTCTACGCATGGGACAGTGTGAAACGTAATTTCAATTCCTTTGTATGGCAAGCACATTCGAAGAAATTGACAAATAAAGTATTCTATTCTATTCTATTAACAGATCACTGATTAATCTGTGTTAGAACTTAGGTGGTGTTTTTCTTTTCCAAATAGGGATTTTGAAGGACATTTTCAAAGTGAATTGAAATCAGTTCATCTGAAATACATGCTTCTATGTTTGACTCTTTTTGCATGTCCGCACAGAAACCAAATTGTAAACCAGTCCATTAAAAAATTAACAACAAAACAAATTTGAGCACATATTTCTTAACGGTATCATACATTTGATGTTATGGGGACTTACCTCCATTTTACTGGCTGCAATGTCCTGATCATAGTGCTCCATCATGTTGGGAAAGAAAGTCATGTTGTAGGGCATCCCTAAGCAGCGGTGGACTTTGATAGGCTCACAGGTGAACAGGCTGTGGGAACCACAGCTTCCAATCCATATCAGAACCAGGCACACCCACAGGCATCCTGGGAACAGCATTACTGCAGATGGCTGGGAGCAAAAGTCTGCTTGTTATGTGAACTACAACAGGTTTCTCAGTTGGCCCAAATGGCGTTATCTTCTGGCTCACACGTTATCCACAAATCACTTTTCCTGGAGACACATTAGAGGCATTTGCAGCAGAAATCCTCCATCCCTGCAACAAATGTGACAGCTGTGAATTTATACTTGGATTATTATTAGGGAATCTCTAAAGCTTATTCTTTGTTTTTATTTAAAAAATATTTTAAACAGGCAAACACTTATCTCCCGGGTTTTAATTTAGGAAGAAACATTTAGACATTAATCAGAGTCAAAAACCAGGCTATCCGTGTGCGTGTATTAGCAACACAGGGTGGAGGAGTCCTAAAGATCATAGCTGCTTTAGAATAAGTCTCAGCTTGTTGGTGCACATTAACCCTCACATTAAGAGCCACGAACATGAATTCTGAGCAGACTGAATTAAATACTCCCACTATCGCTAAAAAAGTAAAAGTGTTAAAAGTACTAAAATTATTACTAATATTTTCCTACTGGCCCACACAGAATCATGTCAGGGGACAAATACTGATAGTAGTTGCATATTTAGGAGCATGGTAATGGCATAATGGACTAAAGAGGTTGTGTTTGAGTCTGTAAGGTTTTCTGTTTTCCTGACAACCAGATTGTTATTAACACGAACTTTAGGACAGCATGAAGACAAGCACAAGTAAATAAAACTGTAATAAACTGTAATTACACTTTCATGGTTAGGAAATAATGCGAGATATTTAGTTTATAGGAAGCAGCAGAAAAGCCATTTAACAGAAAAATCAGACCGACCGCGGGGAGAAGTTTTTGCTAACATCCCTGCTCCGCTGGGACGGGCCGAGTCAACTTCAGTGGAAAAGTACAAACAAACAAAAACTACTGGGGTAAAAACACAGCACTAAAACACTTACCCCAACTGCGAGGAGGCATTTGCCCCGTATCCTCCACGGAGACAAGCCAGAGAGGGATTTGGGAGAGTGTTTCCTGTGATAAGCCACGAACCGTCCCGACTGGAGTTCTTGTTTGGAAAGGAAGTTGGGAAGTAAAGCTGCGTTCAGGGACAGTTGAAAATGTGACCACTTGAGTTTTATTTGGTGTTGTGCGTAATGTGCAACGAGCGTTTTTTCATAAATAATAGTATTACTTAACTGTTAATTGTTTGTTAATTGATTATTAAAAAGTTGCTTTGATGAAAATGAATTTGAGTTTCGATTAAAAAATATTATTTATGTGCACTCTGTATTCTAACCATTAACCAGGGCTGTCCAAACTTTACAAGAAAGTCATCTAGAAAAATGTGATTTATTAAAATAAATAAATAAAATGCAAAGATTATTTCATGGTCCTTTTTAGTTTAGTTTAGTTTAGTTTAGTTTAGTTTGGGTTTAATGAACAAGAACAGCACAGAAGACAATGTTACATTAAGGGCAATAAGTGTTGCTTTGTACAGGGGTTTTCTAGCCAGGGGCTAATTTCCAAACATTGTCCTTGGTTAGACTTTTTTTTTTTTTTTTTGTACTTCTCAAAATAGAAAATATGCAAATTATTAAAAACCTGGATAATTTTTAGGGGAGACAACATTCTTCATTCTAGAAATGCAAGAAACACAAAACCACTCCAAAGGCCAAAAACGGCCCCTGGCCCGCACTTTGGATGTGCCTGGCTTACACATTTGACATGCTTGGTGTGTTTTTTGGTTAACTTAAAGTTGTTTGAAAAAAAGCCCAACAACCTAAACCTAAACAAGTAATAGGTACGTACTTTTTATTTATATAGCACTCATTGCAGAAAGAGAATCAAAAAGTACTTCACAGAGGTCAACAAAAACAAATAATAAAGTCACAATCATCTAGAAAACAAAACAGCAAATATCATAAAATTGTTTAAAATCTGAAAAAAATAAAGTAATGAATTTGTAAAATGATCATTCATTCATTCATTAAATTGTTATAAATATCATAAAGCAATTGAAAGATGATTATAAATTTCAGGTAAAAAAGGAAGAAAAGCACAAAAGATTTCAGTAAAAAGCAGCTGTAAATAAAAGGGTCTTCAGCTGTTTGAATAGGTGACCTGACTGTCAATATTACGTAACAGGGCTGGGCGATATGGCCTAAAATCAATATCACAATATATTGAGGATTTCACCTCGATAACAATGGACAATAACTGTAGGTATGTGCAGAAACAAACGTTGTCCACTAGATGGGGCTGTCACGTGTACTACGTTGACTTATATTTTTACGTGACAGGTGGTACAGCTTCTTAAAGGGACATGAACGTTGCCAACCTTCACACAACTTTTCATGTTTTTATTATCAAATTTATTGACATGGTAAAAATTATCACAATAATAGTCAGAAATTTCGATAATGATACATTTTCGATTTATTGCCCAGGCCTGCTACGTAAGCATAAATGAAGTTGATTCCTGAGTCAGGGTGCAACAGCCTGAACAGAGCGATCACCTCACTTTTATATCTGGTCTTTGAAACTTCTAGAAGGTTCTGGTTTGTGGGCCTGTGGGCTCTGGTTGGAGCATAAGGCATATGCAGTTCAGTAATATAAGGAGGAGCTTGACCATGTAGAGCACTGAAATGTATAGACCCAATGAAAGTTAGTGCACTTCTGTTTGCTCCAGTTAGGAGCCTCGCTGCAGAGTTCTGGACCAACTGAAGACGGTCAAGACATTTTTTTTATTAAAATATGTAAAAAGTGTGTTACAGTAATCAAGACAGGAAGAGATAAAGGCATGGATAACCATTTCAAGTTCATGTCTGGACACCAAACTTCATAGTTTGGAGATATTTCATACGTGATAAAAACAGTTTCAGACTAGTGTTAATGAGTGGCCTTCAATAGACATTGATTGATCAAAAACATCCAAATTCCTCAGGTTTGACTTGATGGCTAAAGATAAATGACCAAGTTGTTGTCTAATCACAGGAACCGTGCTCTCGGGGGCAACGATCAGACATTCAGTTTATTCAGAGTTTAACAGAAGGAAGTTATCTTCTAGCCAGTCGGTGATAGCTGATAGACATGGTAGTACAGCCAGTTTCCAGAACTCAGAATCCTTAAAGGAGCAGTACAGCTGAATGTCATCTGCATATTGGTGATAGGGGACAGTATGGAAAGAATCCAGCCTGATGTACTTTGCCAGAAACTCCAGAAGACACAGGTGGGGGCCTCAACTATCACCTGGATTAAAGACTACCTGACAAACAGACCACAGTTTGTGAGACTGAAGAACTGCACATCAAACCAGGCGATCAGTAACATTGGAGCACCACAGGGGACTGTACTCTCGCCATTCCTTTTCACCCTGTATACCTCAGACTTCCAGTACAAATCAGAGACCTGTCATCTACAGAAATACTCAGATGACTCTGCAGTTGTCGGGTGTATCAGAGATGGACAGGAAGCTGAGTACAGAGAGCTGGTGGAGCACTTTGTGGCATGGTGTGGAAACAATCATCTGACCTTGAACGTGAACAAAACAAAGGAGATGATTTTAGACTTCAGAAGAAACAGGGTGGAGTCAAACACTGTTTCCATCATGGGAGAAGAAGTGGAGGTGGTTGAGGAATACAAATACCTTGGAGTTCACCTGGACAACAGACTGGACTGGAGAAAGAACAGCGAAGCCGTTTACAAGAAGGGACACAGCAGACTGCACTTCTTGAGGACACTTAGGTCCTTCAATGTCTGTAGCAAGATGCTGCAGATCTTCTACAAGTCTGTTGTTGAGAGTGTAATCTCTTCAGCCATCGTCTGTTGGGGTAGCAGCATCAGAAGCATCGACCTGAAAAGGCTCAACAGCCTAATAACAAAGGCTGGTTCTGTTCTGGGGACGACTGTGGAACCACTGGAGGAGATAATGCAAAGAAGGATTCTCCAGAGAATCAAGAAAATTATGGACAACCCTGAGCATTCTCTTCACAAGACTGTCCGACAACGGAAGAGTGTCTTCAGTCAGAGGCTTCTTCCGTTTCGCTGCAACACTGACCGCTACTGGAGATCCTTCCTGTCAACAGCCATTGTAATATACAATAACTCTTTGATGATTTGATTATTATTATTATTCTGAGCTACTACAGCAATCAATTTCCCTCTGGAATTAATAAAGTATTTTTAATTGAATTGAATCACATATCCTTATTCATAGCTAGACATATTTAGGGCAGATGGCAGTCTACGTGTGTGGCGTCGTGCAGGTGAGCAGTTTGCTGATGTCAATATTGTGGAAAGCGTGGCCCATGGTGGCGGTGGGGAACTTGTATGGGTAGGCGTATGTTATGGACAACAAACTCAGGTGCAGTTTATTGATGGCATTTTGAATGCACAGAGGTACTGTGACAAAATCCTGAGGCCCATTGTTGTGCCATTCGTCCACGACCATCGCCTCATGTTGCAGCATGATAACGCACGTTCCCATATTGCAAGGATCTGTACACAATCCCTGGAAGCTGAAAACATCCCAGTTCTTGCATAGCCAGCATACTCACCAGACATGTCACCCATTGAACATGTTTGGGGTGTTCTGGCTCGGCGTATACAACAGCGTGTTCCAGTTCCTGAAGAAGAAGATGATAATGAAGATGATGATAATGATGATGAAGAAGAAGAAGAATAAGAAGAAGAAGAAGAAGAAGATGATGATGATGATGATGATGATGATGATGATGATGATGATGATGATGATGATGATGATAAATTACAGCAACATGATCCTCAGTAAAGCATTAATGTGATTTAAATCACATGAGTCGTACACCATCACTCCACTTGGAGGCGCTGTTTGTCAGGTCTGCTCACGTTCATGTGACCGACCGCCGTGCAGGGCAGAGGCGGGGTTAGAATGTAACGTTCACCGTCCAGTCCAGCTCTCAGCCCAAGAAGTATCGGTGCAAATAGCTTCTCTCCCGTCGAGTCGCCGTGGACCGGAACCACAAACCCCGAACATCAGATGACACTGGAGGCGCAGGCGCCGCTGCAGAAGAGGACGGGACTGACTCACAACACATTCATATGCGGGACGTAAGCCGGTGGCCCGTTAAGAGACAAGAGAACCGGATCCAGAACCTTCACATTTACGTGCGTAAGGTGCTCCGGGGATCTGGGAGGGTGCGTGGTTCTGTTCTGCTGCGAGATGCAACAGGGTTGGTTATCCGTCCGTTCCCACAGCTAGTGGACGGAGGCGCTGGCCTGTTGCTAGGAGACCTTTTGACAGCTGGAAGCTTTTGGAAAGTGACAGCTAATGCGTTAATGGGGTTTGGTTATTTGGCAACCCAAACCTTCCTCCTGGAGTCTGTTCATGCGGAAATCCTGACTTAAAAAAACAAAATATTATTGTGTTTTCTCCTTTCGTTTTTGTTTACTTATTTGTGGAATTTTAAGCACGTTGAAGATACTACTATAATTTTTAAATCTAAGTCACCAATCCTAAACGTGTGCTTATTCAGCTCCCAAAGAGCCCGTATGTATGGCATTTTCAGTTAATTTGCTAGATTTTGCTTGATGCTCAAATTAATAAGTGCAGCATGTGTTGGCCCACTCGTCCTCAAAGCGCTGCCTGTAGCTGTGTGTCTGAAGGTCATTCATAAGTCAATCACCAGATCTCAGAGGAGACGACAGTTGTTCTCAACCCTTCTGCACTTAAGCTCATTAATACTCAAGTTCACTTCCTTCCTTCAGCAGAGACATCTGAGGAGACCTGGGGCGTCCGCGTGTTGCACAGCACATGATTCAGTCATCCAGTGCATCTTGAAGTTTTGTTTTGTGTTTGTGTATTCAGGTGTGTGAAGGTTGTAGCTACATAATCAGGACTTGATGTAATTTGGGCTCTGGGGTTGCTCTGAGAAATGCTGAGCTGGTAGTCTGCGCTCCGGCTCATGTCTCTGCTCTAAAAGGACATGAAGAAGCAGCTGTAAGAATTGTCAAAGTCAATAGCACTGCAGCCGAGGCATGTGAGGCACGATGTGTTGTTACATTTATTCACACTTTGCAAAGGAGGCCATGACAGTTGGGTGGGACGGGTGTACTGAGTGAAGCTGACACGCTGTTCTGTCCTGTCAGGCTGATGTTTGTCACCGGCGAGGAGACCAGTCCTCAGGAGCTCCATCACACCTCCCATCCACCTCCATCAGCTCTGCCTTTGTAAAGGGGCATGCCTTCTGAAACAAGCCTCAGGTATGTGGCTGCACCCGTGCCGTTTCACGCTGCATCAAACACACTGACAACATGATAGTTAATGGATCTAGAGTCACGGTCCTTCACCAGGAAGATCCATGCAGGAATCAGTATAAGTGTTGTCTCCTTTTGTGCTTCAAAGTCTTCCTTTTAAAAATTAACTGATTGCATCTCACTTGTTGCAGGCTTCTTCCTGAAGGGACTTAGTTTGGCAAAATGGCGTTTTTGTCCTGCAGGACTGAATAGCCAGTGGCAATTTGGGACACAGCCAAGACCCGTTTGCTTTAAATGGCTCTGGTGTGTCCAGATCATGCAATAATTACACCTTCTTTTGTTTTGAATTGCATTTATTCACCTTTATTTTCCATTTATTTACATGGAATTCTCTAGTTATTCACAAGTAGAATTATCAGCAGCAGCAAAACGTAGCTCTTCTGGAGCATCCAAGGTCATGCACGCCCTGCAGGAATGTCTCAACATTTCTGCCAAAGTAACATTTTAACATGAAACTTAGAACAATATAAAAGTTTATAAAATAACGTTGCATGAATTGTTGTTCATTAGTAGATGGGAGCTGTCTAAATGCAAAAGTGAGCAGGGCTATGAAAGTTATTTTCGTCCTACGCCCTGAATCACTCATATGTTTCATTTCAGTTCAAAAGAAAAAATAGTTATGTGTGTTTCTGTCACGTAATTTGAGATTTATTTGCTTGCAAATATTCAGAATTAAAACGGCAACAAATCAGAAGTCACATATTTGACATCACAGCGGAATCCTCCCCCAGCATAGCTGCCACTTTCCACATGGCCAGAGTGGTTTTTTCCACGTTTAATGCTCCTGCTTTCATCCTAAAAGAAGGACGTGAACCTCGCTAAACTCAGACACCTTTCTCCTTGTTCCCCTTGTCTAGTTTGATGACATAAATGTAGAGAGACAAGCAGTTGGGAGTCCTCTGGACTCTATAACTTTAAAATTCACAGACATCATGTGTGAAATCTATGGCTCGTATCAAACGGGATCAGAAAATAACTTTTATCGCCCCAAAGACTCCCATTCATTTTTGGGACAGCAGGGAGCCATGGACTATACCCTCCTGAGGAGAGCTTTTGCTTGGTGCACACATTTAGTTTCAGCCAGCTAGTCAGTATTGAAAGACTCTAAAAAACAACAAAACATGTATTAATACATGTTTTTATATATCATAAATGAATACATTATATTATTAAATACATGACCAGACGTCTTTACAACTGCAGCGTTGATGAGACGCTGTAGGTCTGGAGTGGTCAGAACCAGTCAGAGATGTGGGGACAGTGTCAGAGAAGGAAGAAGAAGAAGAAATGTCACCGAGATGCACCATGAGAAAAACCGGCTGGTCGGTTCAGCGCTCGGCCATTCAGGTGCCAGGCACCAGTGCTATTCACTGACCAGGCACACGTTCTCATTAAATCATTTATTAAATATGGATTCTTATTTTCAGTTTAACAATATAAATGAAACACTGAATACATGGAGAAAAACACGATAACAAGTTTGAGGAGTCTTCAAGACTTTCTGGGAACTGCGATGGACGGGCAATCTGTCCAGGGTGTACCCTGCCTGTCTGCCCGAGGTCTGCTGGAGATGGGCACCAGCCCCTGTGATGCTGCATGGAAAAGTGGGATAGGTTTCCTAGGAAATGGTTACTCATAATTGTAGGTTGTTGAACAACATCAGTTTGAAGAAATAAAGTTTCATTCTGAGACCAACTTCTGGATTAGAACTATTCCGATCTCTAAAATGTCTCGCTGGTTCATTACTAGTTTATAAACCTGAACACCAGCGTCAGACTGACACCAGACTATTGCACACATAGAAATCCATGGTTACTTGTAGACAGTGTTAGCAGCAGCAGGAAGCTGCAGCACGTCTAGAGCAGACTAACTGTGCAATGCAAAATTATTTGATCAACTAAGTATTTAAAATAGCGTTGCATGAACTGCCCTGACATTTTGGAGACTGGAGTTGGAAGACAGAAGCAACCCACTTTGGTTCTGGCTACACTCTGACTAGCTGTTAGCTTATCAGTATGATCAGAACTAATCTCTGTGTCTCTAATCTGAGGTAATTCAAAGCTATCTAGCTGAAACATTAGTGATTTTTTATAACGCTACATGAGTCAACATAAACCTTTAAAAACACACATGCAAGATGTGTAAGAGGTGGGCAAGTCAGGGGTGCGGGTATTGATCCCATTTCCGCATTGCTGTGGCAGCCTGACCCCCAATTTTAAATGCACATTAAACACTTCCACCAACGACATTCCACGCAAACACACACTTAGGGCCTTGGGAGTGAACACACTCAACGGCATTTGGCAAGGGGATCTTTCAGCCTCATCCCGAGTGCCGGTGCCCACTGCCAATTTTAAACTGCACTTAGACACAGAGGGCTGTGGGGGGAAGTGGGGTTGTGTGGATGCATTAGCTGCTGTAGGCCAGACGATTCCTGCACTGTCTGCTCACCACAGCCATGGAATACACCTCATCAACACGCATCAACACTGTATTGGAGCAGGCGGAGAGAGACTAGGGGTCTTAGCACACCTCTTTTGTCTCTTGGCTTCCAGGGACTGGAGGCTAGGAGGGGGATCTGGCCGTCTGGTTGGGGTCTGGCGTGGTGGGTTGCTTTGCTCGGCATTGGGCGGGGGAGCCTGCTCATCATCACCCCAGCAGAAAGGGGCAAACTCTGGGAACCGGTGATGGTTGTACCCTTTGTGCAGCAGTACCGGGACCAGAGTGAATAGGGTGTGTATGGGGGGCATGAGTGGGTGTCTAGCATTCATTTTTGTAAGTCTTAGGTTGTATGTGTATGTGTGCACATGAGGGAGGGAGTGTGTGACTGTGTCTGTGTATAACTGTATATGTCAGGTGGGGTCTTTGAGTCAAAGACTTTGACTCCTCCCCTCTCCTGGGACTTCTTGTGCTACTACACATCTTCGCCTGCCCTCCCCCTGCCACATTTGGTGTGGAGTGCTGTGCCTTGGTCTGCCTGAGTGTTCGCGGCTCCCGGGTCAGGGGGTTTAAGATTTTTGGAGTCTGCCTGTTTGATCCCGGTGGCTGCCTGGTGGGATCTGAGTCCCTGGGCTCTGTCGGGTCCCCGGCGGGGCTGGTCGCCCCTGGGACATAACGCAACTAACAGCAAAAGCATAGAAGCAGACAAATATGGAGGATCTGGTCTTTGCATAACATGCATTGAATTCCATAAAATTTGGTTCTCAAATTAATCATAGAAAAAATTCTGAATAGACATTTATCCTCTCCATGTGCACACAGGGATTTTCTTCTGTATTGTTTATAGACCTCTATAAAACTGCACTATTTGCACAAAAACAACCAAAATTCAAACTTAAGGCGACAACTTCAGCAAAAATGAAGAAAAACAACTGGAGAAGTGAACAAAAGACCCTAACCAGCAACATTCCCAGAGACAACATTATGTTAGAATCTTCAGAATGTTAACATCCTGGTACTTCTAGGAGTTATTGTTACATGAGTAGTTGTGATTGATCTAGGTAAACAGTGTAACACATCAGCTCTTTAACAAAGGAAAAGATTCAGGTATCCTGAGAAATAACATCAGGAAACAAAAAGCACCAAGAGTCAGGAAAACGCTGCCAGGGAGGAATAGTTTATCAGTTCGTCTGTAATGTCCTGTTACTCAATGCCTTTTTGTCTGATGCCTTTTTTTCAAGATCTGATCCCTTTTTGTCTGTCAGCTTCTTTTCCTGAAAACGGCTCATTTTTCATCTGACGCTTGTTTTCCGGACGCCTGATTCTTTTTGTTTGAAACGCTTTGTTTCCATTCTGACGTCTGAAGATGCTTTCCTCAAATCAAATCCAAATTTCTTTGCAGAGCACTTTACACGAAGAGAAGAACAGTATATACAGATTAAAGGTACAACCAGTTCAGTTCAACATATTCTGACCCTCACCCTTTTACGGCACAAAACACAGCCCTTGTTCTGTTATCTTTAACTGAATATAAAATCCAAATAAACACGATGCTTCTGTAAGTAAACAAGGATTTCAGTGACAACGGGGCTCATAAATTAAAAGAACAGATCAATGAAGACCACTGAGACATATATAAACTAAAACAAAGACATTAACGTTGATCCTGAAAGGCACAGGGAGCCGATGCAGCCACCTCCTGAGACACAAAGAAGTTAAATTCATAAGCCTCGTGTGCTAGATGAGTGAAAAGAGCAGAAATTAGTGGAAGTTTCCTTTATTGTTAATGCAGTAATCGTCATGGTCACCTCAAATCAAACAGGCATTACATTAGTTTGGTAACACTTTTATTGAAGCCCTTTTTGATTTTGACAGAAATTGTGCAGCATGCATGACTCAGGTGAATGCTAACCCTTTAGCTTAACTAACATGATCAAGCTGCTGCTTTGATCTCCTGTCAGACTTACTTTTATAAGCTGCTGAACCACCTTCTCCCTTTTGACTTGCCTCCGATACTAAAATCACAAAAGGCTCAAAATTCAAAATGCTCCAAATGTTGCAGCAAATCTCTGTTTGTATGTCGATGTTTCTGCAATCCATGAAAAATGACAACAACAGGGGCGTGTCCAGGGAGTGGCCTGGGGTAGCACATGCCACCCTTGGAATCTGATTGGCCACCCCAGGTGCCACCACACTAATTTACCTTTAAATAGGCTTTTCATTGTCCACAAAAGGCTTGGGGGTAAAATAAAATAAAAGCATAACCATTGGTGCCACCCATGCACAAAGCTGTGCCTCTCCTGGGCCACCCCATTTTAAAAGATCTGGACACGCCACTGGACAACAAACAGAAAACTTTCATTGTATTTCCATCCTTGTTGCTTGTGCTCACAGCAGAAGAAAAGCTTTCATTTTTAAGATCCTAAATCCAAAAGTTTTCAAGCTTTTAGGAAAAATAATTAATTTTAAACTTTTGGTTTCATCATGTTTTCATTTCATGAATAAAAAAAATACAATTTTCTGTTCTTCCTTTTGGTAAAATCAGACGAACAGATGTTAACGTCAGTCCCTCTAACCTTACATACCTTGTTGTTTGTTTTGTTGATGTTTACATGTGGTACACTATGAAGGCTGTTGTTATTGTTGAAGATCCATCTTGCTAAACCAATATATTAGTATTCACGTCAAACATAGTGTTCCCTCTAGAAGAACAACATGTTTATGGGATTCACGTGAATCACTAAGCAGGTGATGGGAAATACTTTAATTCTGATTGTTATTAATAACTTTTTGTTTTTAAATGAAACCTACAAAATCCAGCTTGACACCATGCACGTGGTCCCTGTGTCTGTTTCAGCAAGGACATGCTAACAGGACAAAGACTCTGCCATTCGAAGTCCCACCAGGACTCGGTTCTCTCCGCTCTCAACCAGCAGAGGAAGGAAGGACAGCTGTGTGATGTCACCCTGGTGGCCGGCGAGCAGAAGTTCCACGCCCACAGAGCCGTCCTGGCAGCATGCAGCGATTATTTCAGGGTGAGGACGTTTTCCAGTTCAAGTTTTCCCTAAAACATTCAGATTGTTTGAGGAGTTCAGATCTTTATCTTGACCAAATGAGGCCACGCCCATGCTAAAGCTCACCTACACCTGGATTTCATCTGGACTGAGCCTCAGCATTTACTGCAGTTTGGCCACAGAGGAGCTTTAGCTAGACACACTCTTTCAGATATCCCTGTCGCACAAGGAGAAGTACACTCAAGAGATTTAATGTTGGGACTCTGAGAAGATTAGAAGGTAGACACTAATCCTCCTCTAAATGAGACGCAGATTAAATATGTCCAAGTTGCACAGGGATTATGCCTCCTGTGTGTGCTCATAGGTTATTAATGCATTTCTCCACTGAGAACTGGCAACAGGCACACTGCTCTGCTCCTTTTGTGATTCATTTTTGTTAATCAGATTTCTTTATGAACGTCGTTCTTTTAAGTTTCATCTTGGCCCAGCACCACTGTTATTCTCATACTCAGGTTATTAGATCAAGCTGCAATGCTAAGCAAGAAAAACTCCCTCCGCTCCGGCGCTTCCCCGTTTCCCTGGAGTGGCCTAACAATATTAGCTTCATTTTGTCATTTGACTCCACTGAAGAGTTTAATTTTGTTCATTTACTGAGAGGATGGAGAGGCTCATATACCTCATCCCTCTCTCTCTCTGGCTGTTTTTCCAGATGAGGAACTTCTGCTCATGTGACTGTAATAAAATACCTGGCCAGACGTGACATGCTTCTCTCATCCTGAATATGATCGTTTCTGGTTTCATCACTGCATTAACATGTATGGACAGCCTTGGGAGATGCAGTCAGATCAGACACTTCAGCATGACTCACCACGAATAAAATCTGTATCGTTTTTTTGTTTCATATCTTAAACTAACATTAGTCTGACTAGTTATGTGACAATTCTGTCTTTACATCCATCTGTGTTTGCTAATCTGAAACATTTAGGCATGAACCCCCCCCCCCCCCCCCCCAAAAAAAAACACCTGTAGAGAGAAATAGTGTCAAGCTAACCCTCATTCGTTAATATTTGACTTCTAAGAGCCAGACTTCTCTGTAATCCTCTGAAGTGTTCTTGATCAGTAATTCTCCAGACGTTCTAAATGTCTTGTAATGTTTTCAGAGGAAAGCCTTTGTTTCAGCTAAAACACTTCTCAACTCAAGAGATGGACCAGAGTTTATTCCACTAATACTTTGTCACAAACTGTTCTGAAAACAGATCTTGAGGCACTTTGCTTCTTGTCAGTAAGACTCAGTATTTTGGAACTCTGATTTTTTTTTAAAGAAACAAAATGATATTTCAATATTTTCTCCCCTTTAGTTACTGAATATCAATCGGCTTTGTATTTTATAAAATTGAAAAATGCTATTAGTCATCTTTAGAAGAAGGAGAGGTTACTTGTATATTGTCTTTTGAGAAAAAAAATGCCCAAGGTGCTTCACAAGTACAATAAAAAAATTAGAATAAAAACAAAGGAAACAGAAATGACAGAAACACCAGCCTGAACAGGTGATGTTGAAATGGACTGGGATGACATGAGTCTGTCCGGAGGATGTAAAACTTAGCTCCTAGTAGCCTGGAACAATGGGGTACAGTTTGTGAAATGAGCAACACAGCTAAACGGGTGATCAGCGGCTGAGTTATAACCACCAGATTGGTCATATTTTGACATCCCAATCCTCAACCAGCAGTTGCTGAAGGTCAGCCATTATGATGATGCTGGTCACTCTAATCAGACAAGTGTTAAGTTGAGTTCAGACCTGGGCCTTCATTTATCAAATGTTTGTACACTATTAAAAATCCAACTTGCAATTTGTTTGGAGAGTTTAAAGTTTTAAGTCAGTTGAACGTTTTAACTTGCAAAATGTTAATACAGAAAAGCAAGCACCTAAAAAGTTGACTGAACTTAAAATTGTATTGCAACTGGTTGCTTTACTTTTTTAAGTTCACTGGACTTTTTTTTACAGTGTAGAAACTGTTCTATATTCCATCCTTTAAGTGAAATTCAGAATGCTTGAGATGAGTCAGACGATGGTGGTGTCATCTGTAGACTTGATAAGCTTGACAGATTCATGGTTGGAGGTGCAGCCGTTGGTGTACAGGGAGAAGAGCAGACAGGGGAGAACACATCCCTGAGGGGAACCGGTGCTGATGATCCATCAGTTCCATAAAATCCTTGTTTGATATCTTCATGTTGTGGGTTTGTCCATGGAAACTGGGAGTATTGTGGGCTCAGAGAAATGAGGGCATCCAACATGGATGGCATAATGCAGCTCAGTGATGGCTGTGAGATGCCTCATCTAGCTGCTATCTCATGTTAAAAGGTGGCAAAAAATCGAGATGACATTCCATGTGCCAAACCAGCTTCTGTAGCCGACGATCAGACCGCCAAGGTCCCTGTCTTCGGCTACCATTGTCACACAATGCACCCAACCACTTTGCCCCCTCCCATGAGTGATGAGCCAATGAGAAGGGGGACCAACATTTCCTTTTCGGGCTGTGCTCAGCTGGGCTCCATGGTTGAAAGCCTGGCCACCAGGTGCTCACCGCCATGCCCCACCTCCAGACCTGGGTCCAGAGGGGGGTCCTGGTGACCCGCGTCTGAGAGAGGGAACACTGTTTTCATGTATATTTTTCTTCATAAGGGGTCTTTGGGGGCATACAATTGTCCCCCATCTTGATGCCTGTACGTTGAGGTTTACCCCGGTGAACGAGAGGGTAGCCTTCCTTCGCTTACTTATGGGGGTAACAGGTCCTGACTGTGGTTTGTGCTTATGTGTCACGAGCGCCAGTGAGGTGAGGATCCCATTGCAGGGGAAGAAGGCAGGAGGGCAGGCAGACAGGAACATTTTAGGAAGGTTTTAATAAAGAACACGCTGGACATAGAAACAATGATCTGACAAGACAAAAAGGACTGACAGGGTTTAAATACAGGAGGAGCTGGGACCTTGGGTCATTGGGAGATGAGAGCCCGGTGGGAGCAATTAACATGGACACAGGACTGAACAGACTGGGGAGACAGGACAGAGTGTGACATTATGCACCACACTACATTTCAGAAAACCCACACTTTTTGGACGACATTGACTACGTTTACATGCAGCCAATATCCGGGTTATGATCGGGTAAGGTCGGTATTCGGGTTTCTGAGTTGATCAGAATAACCCGTTTACAAGCATAAATAGAAAGAGTTACCCCTAACTTGCATAACCCGATTTAAATGCAGACGTTGGGGTAGCGTCAGGACGTATGGACTACGTCCAGACGCAATATGCGTCATTTCCGGTTGTTCTTGTTTCAGTATCAGTGAAAACAACAACATGTTTCCCAGTTCGGAAGAGATGGCGACTGCGTTTGTGCTTTAGTTTCTTCGTCACTCCGAAAGTGTGGTGCTGTGCCGCAACTCGCCATGTTGCTCTCAACTTGTTGTTTACTTCCGGTGTTCTAGTGCATACAAGACGTCTCGCTACTCAAAAGACCAAGATTCCTTGCGAACAGAGCATGCGCAGAACACACGCTTTGATGGGGATATCCCGATACGCGTTTACACGACCAAACTTTCGGGTTAGAAAAGGGTTACCCCAGGTGTAGTAACCGGGTTTTTAAAAACCCGGTTATGAGCATATCCGGGTTTTTGGCGGTGTTTACATGGACCTGTGGAACCGGGTTATTGTGAATATTCGGGTTTTAAAAGGGTTACTGGCTGCTTGTAAACACACTCATTGAGTCCAAGTGAGCTCTGTTCTGTGCCTCCATTGTTGAGGCAGCTGACCAGAGCTGTGGCCGCAGGGTTGTCGGTGCCTGTCGTGGTGGCACCCCCAAACTCGCTGGTGGACACCCACAATTAGAAATATTTTCTGGCTAATAAAAAACGAGTCCTATGAGGTCTTTTTGGCCTGTGGGGTATGCAAGCGGAATGTGGCTCAGGTGGTCGTGGAGGCAGAAACCCAGGCATGGGAGGAGTTCGGTGAGGCCATGAAGCAAGACCTCTGCACAGCTTCAAGGAGATTCTGATCCACCATCCGGTGCCTCAGGAGGGTAAAGCAGTATGCTACCAACACTGTTTATAGTGGGGACTGTGTGCTGCTGACCTCGACTCAACTCAGGACATTGCGGATCAGTGGGTGGAGTCCTTGGAAGTCCTCCTTGATCCTACTGGAACATCTTCCTGTTAGTTAGCAGAGTCTGAGATCTCTGGGTTGGACTCTCTGATCTCTGGGGCTGAGGTCACTAAGGTGGTTAAAAAGCTCCTCGGTGGCAAGGGCCCGGGGGTGGATGCGATCCGCCTGGACTTTCTTAAAGCTCTGGATGTCATAGGGCTGTGTTGGCTGACATGACTCGGCAATAACGCGTGGACATCACAAGCAGTTCCACTGCGCTGGCAGACTGGGATGGTGGTCCCCCTATTTGAAAAGGGGAACTGTGGTGTGTGTTCCAACTACAGGGGCATCATACTCCTGAGCCTCCCTGGTAAGATCCGTCGAATAGTCGAACCTTGGATTCAGGAGAAGCAATGTGGTTTTCATTCTGGCCGTGGAACACTGCACCAGCTCTATTCCCTTTGGGGGTTCCTGGAGGGTGCGTGGGAGTTCGCTCAACCAATATACACTGTTAAGAGCAAAATATAATTTTCTGTGCTGCTTTAGTGTTGCAACAACATTACATTATTAAGAAACTGTCTTACCTCGTGTTTTACTACAGTATCCTTGAAGCTTCCGGTGCTCAGATTAATAAGAATGTGTTGTCTCAGCTGTGAGAATAGACAATCTGATCAGTAAAATGTCTGTCAAGAACTGTGGAAACTTTCAGAGGACCTCAACTGGGAATAGCCATGTCTGCCATACCTACCCTCTGCAGTACTGCAGGAGGTCTTGGTATTTGGTACTCTTTCTTTTAAAGGCCTGCTCAAACCCCTCCTTCCATGGTAAATTCTATGAGGATGATAGTTTTATCCTCTCCATACCATAGCTCCACATCTGGCCT